GGGGGGGCCCGCTCGGGCAGGGCGCGGAGGCTCCGCCGGGCCCTGTCCCGAACCCCCGGCGCTCTGCCCCGCCGGACCGTGGTGAGTGAGCAAGCCGCCGCTCGCCCAGCCCCTCCGAGGCCGGAGCGCTGCCCCCGCTCGGGCTGCGCATCCTCGCACCCCCGGCTCGGCCCGCTGGTCCCCCCGCGCCACCGCCTCCCGCCCCCTGGTGCCTCACAGCTTCAGCCGCTTCCCGCCTCGCCGCTTGCCGACCTTTCCCGCCCTGAGGAGCGCGGCGGGCCCGGGCCGCGGCCGCCGGGCCTCCCGGGCTCCGCGCCGCAGCCTCAGCGGGCCGGGACTGGCAACGGCGGCCGAGCACATGGACGGCGGCCTGGCGCGCCTGTGGCGGGGGGTGCGGGAGCCGGCTGCAAGCGGCGGTGTGAGGCCCGGCCGCCGGCTTCCCCGGAGCCCGGGTGGGGGCGGGGAGCTGGGGGGACGTGGTCCTGGGGGATCTCGAGGCAGGGACGCGGGAGCGTGTAATTGTTTGGCCTGTGGTGGGTACAGATGTGTGCAGGGAGGTAACAGGAGCCCGGGCTGGGAGGGAGGGAAGCGCGGGCCTGAGCTTGAGCCAGATGGTGGCCGCGCTCCAGGGCCTGGCAGCCGAGCGAGGGGCCCGATTTTGGAGTAGTGCAGGAGGGCGATTTATTTCGCTTAGCAAACATTTACCCAGCTCTAAAGGAATAGGGAGGGAAACGTCTTGCTCCCTTTTTCCTTCAGGCTCCTTAGTCTTTAGTCTTTGTCCTTCGTCCTGAGGTGGTGAATGAAATGTCTATGGTCCCTGCCTTTCTAGAATCCTCCACAGATATTTACGGAACCCCTAATGTGGGCTAGATGTGCTAGGCGCTGGGGATACAGTGGAGAACACAATGTCCGTGACCTCTCTCACAGAAGGTGATGTATTCAACAAGTGACTGTTGAGTACTCCAGGAGTGGGAGGTGGACAGGCTTTCTATCAGAAGACTCTCAACATCAGACTTCCAGCCGTCTTCCCAGCTTCCCACGGACACACCCCAGAAATAAAAGAATTCTCTGGCTGGTATAGGTCTGTAACCTACAGGTTAAGGAAGACACCTTTCTTCATATGCAAATACTCCTTCGAGGCAAATCTCCTAGCTTCTGCTCCTCCGGTCCCAGCCAGTTTGTAGTCCCTACGCCTCCACTGCCAGCCCCTTCTGTGCCCCAGGTATAGTGCTAAATGCGAAGTGGTCGCTACAAAATGAATGGCATGCCAGACCAGTTAACGTCTAGTCCCGTGTGGCCCAGGTTCAAATGCAGGATTCTCAGTAAATCTCAGTAAAGAACTTAGAGGGGATGGACAGACAAGATTTCAGAGGAGAAGTGACCCAACGTGGTAAGTGCATGGGGTAGCCCCAGTGCCGTGGCGGTGTGAAGGACGTAGACCCACAATAAATGTTTGTTGGGTGAAAGAATGGCTGAAGGAAGAGAGGAGAAAGAGCAGTTCTAATGGATGTTTGATAAGTGAGAACGAGTACATGAGTAGGAGCAGGCTTGAGGTGGAAGGGATGCCGCCTTCAGTTGGGACCTCAGGAGGAGTTGAACTCTGGAGAAAAGTCAGGACTGGAGAGGTTTGGTAATCACCCAAATAGAAAAGAGTGCTGAAGGCCTAATCGTGACCGAGATAAGCAAGGAAAAGACGAGAGGGAGAAAAAAGGTGGAAGGAAGAAGTGGCCTCAGGATAACTCACAGCTGCCTTTCCTTCCAGTTCTTCCTCGTTCCCGTTGCCCCTGGTCTCAAGCCCCCTTTCCTTCCAGGTGTCGTCCATCTTCCCTCATCTTCGTCCAGCTCCTCTCTTTAAGTGCTCAGATGTCATCCTTCGTCTGTGGTGTCTCTTGAGGCCCTTCACACACAAACGTGGGTGCTCTCTCAAACTGCTCCCCTCCCCCGTGACCGCCCAACCAAGCCTTTTCATTCTGAGCCTTCTGAGTTGAAGAGAAATGAAGGGCACATTCCAGAGAATAGTACCCAATGTAAATCTTGCCTCTCCATATATTTACTCCAGTTTCCTTTAAAACTCCAGGCTTGGTCTCTTTTTATGGTTGTTGCAAATTAAATAGGGCAGTAGGATAACCATGTCAGAGATCAGATGCGTTAAGAGACTTGCAAGGTTAAAGCCTAAAACGCTTTTGTCTAGCTTTCGCCTGAAGGCCCTGAGGTCAGAGAGACCTCTCTTCAAATCAGGAACCCCCACCCCGTATAGCAGCACTGAGAGTTTTGGCAAATTCTGTCACCTCTCTCAGCTTTTGCGCTTGAGAACATTGATACCTACCTGACAGGATCATAAGCGGGGTTTTAATAAGGCAACACAAGGAAAATGCCTAGCATAGATGATCGCTTTTGCTACACTTTGTATTTTTTCTCAACCAGGCCTGACCTTCTCAAGCGTGGCAGGCGATGAAATAAAAGAAACAAGTTTTATTTTTTTTTTTTTCTTTTTTTTTTTACAAATATTGACTGAGGGGAAACAACTTGCTTGAATTCGGGAAATCAGAAAACTATTTCCAATACTGAAGTTGACATTTCTGAACTCCTGGTTCTTAACCTGGGCTTTAGTCTTCACTAAGTTTATGAAGCGGGTCTGTGTTTTCCATAATACTACTTTTTGTTTGCCACTTACAAAAGCAGAATGTTGACCTAATTACAAAAACTTTAGAAATGTATGTAGAAGAAAATTAAAACTGTCCTTAATCTCACCATCCAGAGATAACCAGTGTTGATATTTTGAAGTATGTCCATCTAAACTTTATCTGTAAATGCCAGTGTGCATTCATACAGACCCTCGTGTCTTCCCCATGTATGTTTTTGCAAAAATGAAATTCCACTATACATGTGGGGTTTTTTTAGCTTGCCTTTTTCTCTCTCTTTTTTAATGTTTATTTATTATTTAAGAGAGAGAATCCCAAGCAACACAAGGCTTGAGTTCACGAACCATGAGATAAAACCTGAGCCAAAATCAAGAGTCAGATGCTTAATTGCCTGAGCCACCCAGGTGCCCCACCTTTTCTCTTAATACACTTTTTGTCTCTTGCACCAATAAATACATGTCTCTCCAATATTTTTAATGTGTTTCATTGTATAGATTTGTAATTCTATTTATGATCTCCTATTAATGGATATCATGCTGACATTTACAAATTTTCTCTGTCATAAACAACCCAGTGTAAAGTCCCTCACAAATAATCTTTGTACCCTTGTTTATTTGCTTCTTTAGGATGAGTTCCTCTTAGAAGTGAGAGTATGAAGTCAAAAGGTATGCCCCCGTTGAGAGCTTTTGATATATATTGCCAAATTTCCTACAGAAATTGTGCACCAATTATATTCTCACCATACCCTTTTCTCCACTACCCAGTCACTCCTAGATATTGTCAATTTATTTGGTAAACATTTACTGAACACTTACTATATGCAAGGCACTTGTAGGTGCTAACAATACAGCTGTGAACAAGTCCCTGCCCTTGTGGAGGTTCTATTTTAGTCAAGGGGAAACAAACAATAAACAGTCACATAAATGTAATGTCAGATGATACAGAGTGTTAGAAATAAAAATAGGCATTTTTGTTCATTTAAATGTTTGTTGATTTGGTAGCCAAATTCTATGAGCTGTCATGGTTTTAATTTTTTTCTTTGGTTGTGATTCATTCTTTCAATAAATACTTACTGAGCACATGCTCTGACCCTGGGGACCAGAAGTAAACAAGTTAACAATGAGCTGATATTCTGTTGGGGAAATATAAGCAATAAACAACCAGAAAATAAGTGAACAATGTAATAGTAACAGGTGGTGTTGGGAACATTAAATTGTATTTTCAAAGAAGGTCTCTCTCTGAAGAGTTAATATTTGATCTGAGAAAAAAATGACAGAATAGATTTGTTATGAGAAGATCTAAGGTAGCAGCAATGGGTGTGGCAAAAACAAAGACTTGGAAGTGGAAATGGTATGACTAATTGGAGGAATTGAAAAGCCAGTGGGGCTGGAAGGTAATGAATGGAAGACGCAGTCTGAAGAGATGAGAAGTAGTGGGCTAGGTCATATAGGGTCTTGTAGACCACAATAAGGAGTTCCAATTTTATCCTTATGTAATAAGAAATCTTTGAAGGGTTTTAGGCAGGGGAATGACATGATCTCATTTGCATTTTTAAAAGATGGTTTTAGGGGTGCCTTGGTGGCTCAGTCAGTTAAGTGTCCAACTTTGGCTCAGGTCACGATCTCACGGTTCGTGGGTTCGAGCCCCGTGTCAGGCTCTGTGCTGACAGCTCAGAGCCTGGAGCGTGCTTCAGATTCTGTGTTTCACCCTCCCTCTCTGCTTTTCCCCCACTCACGCTCTGTCTACTCTTTCTCTCAAAAATAAATAAACATTAAAAAAAAAAAGAAAAGATTTAAAAAGTAGTTTTAGCTACTGTGAGAAGATAATACTGTACAGTAAGGTGACCGTGTAATTTATCATCCAAGTGGGAATCCTTTTGCAAATGAAAGGGGGTGCTAACTGG